AATGTTTTTTAAAGGATTGAATTCAGCAAATTCGAATGACATGGTTTTAATTTCTTGTAATAATCACAAATTATTGCTCATAAATTTAATAATAATAAATTGATAATTGCAAAATATTAAATGTCTAATTTCATGGGTAAATTGAGAATAAATTTATATAAACTCAGTATTGATCCCGTGAAAATAATCTTTAACCACTGAATATATCATGACTTGTGATTAAGGCCTGCTATAGTTGTTTGTCATAATAGTTTTGGGAGAAAAAGTAATTATGACAACAATTACGGAACCTCAATATATATATGAATGAACATAAAATAACTATATATATTATATGTAAATACCAATGGTAATATTTTTACTTATAATCACGTGCATAATATAGTATCATAATAAGTATAGTATAGTAAGTAATATACAGGTTGTATTAAACACTACAACTATTTAAGATGTTAATAATTTATCCATTGCAACCCTCACATAATATTAATAATACTGGAATATCTATTTCAAATAATTGATCATTTAATTGATTGATTCTTTTATAATTTTCTTGTCCTCCTTTTTTTAATTCAACTAAATAATTTTTTTTTTATATAATTTTACTATTTTTAATGTTTTGAGTAATTCATTTAATAAATTAGTAGTTTTATCTTCCAAATCATTTATATTGATTAATTCGTTTAATAAGTCGAATAATTTATTTATTATCGAAATCATCATCACTTTTACTACATCCATAATTTAATCAATTTCTTAATTAGTATAAAATGGAATGATGTTTAGACTATTGATGATAAAGCAATTAAAACTCTATCTTCCGAAAGTCATACTGATATTTTATTAAAATTAGCAAATTATAGACGAAATTGTGGAATTACGAGAAATATTTATGAGGTTAATGTCTATGTTGAAGATTTTGTGATGCAAAATTTGATATAGCCAAATCTCGTTATAGTGAACACTTGATTTTGTCCACTATAATGAGATTTGACTATAAAGGAAAACCTAATGGACTTATTATAAATAATTTGAAAAGTCCCTTATGACAAGATATTTATAATATATATAGTAAGTAAAATAAAATAATGTGAGTTGATTTTAAACTAAATCATTTTTAATTCTTGGTAATTAATTGTAAAAAATTTGTAAATTTTTTTTAGTATATAATTAGTTCGATTGCTTAAAAGCTAATTGTATTCCAAGAGCCGCTATTAATTTTGATGTATTAATAAGTTACTAATAGAATCATTAAGTAAGCATTTAATATTAATAATTTATCAAAATAATTTTTACACATGTCATTGTTAATATTAATATATTAAGGAAATGCGTAAAGAATTTTTTTTTTTTTTATCCCAAATATAATTAAATATTTATTTACCAACCAATAATTATAATGATCTCTAAAAATATTGTCATAAAGCATATATTAAACATCCCTTTTGTAATAACAAATAAATAAATAAATTAATAATCTTTTTGTGATTAAATAGTCAGTGCAAAAATTGACACACGTTTTTAATCATTATCCTTTGTTATCCCTAAAGTATTAAAGTTTTGAGATAA